TGTTATCCGTTTCGTCCAACAAATTTGCTAATCTTCCAATACGTTATTGTTAACGTCAAAAATTGCGAAACAGTTTATTCAACTGTACATGCATTCTCCACTTCGTCCAACGCGAATTGTTCGATCTTCCAATACATTTGTCAACTTGAAAAATTGCGAAACAATTTATTCAACTGTGCATACATTCTCCACTTCGTCCAACGAATTGTTCGATCTTCCAATGCATTTGTTAACTTAAAACAAAATTGCGAAACAGTTTATTCAACGATGCACGCGCCGTCCATTTTGTCCAATCTTTCAATCTTCCGATAGATTTGTTGATTTAAATTTTTGCAAAGCGATTCGTTCAACTGAATCCACGAATATATTTATTTGCTTACGATGATCGCTAGGAAGATATAAACAAACATTCAGAGATAGAAACAGTTAGCTCTTGTGGCCAGTTCGCCGTATTTAAAACAGCGGAGCTTATAAGCCAGCGGGCAGATTCCGGCGAATTAGTTGTCACAATATCGTTTAATTTCTCCGCTGTTTATCTCGCGGCCGCCATGATGGTTTTCTGGATGTTCGCGGCTGCGGAAGAAAGTTTCATTGAATTTTCTGGGAACGGAATAGTGCCCCGGCTCCGTTTCGTAACGGAATATTACCCGGCGTTTGGTAATAGAGTTATTATCAGGTTGAAAGCTGTCTCGTGCATCGGTTGCGAATTCCCCTGGAAATGTAAAACTGCTGGGGAGCCTCTCTCCCCGGCGAATTACACGGCGGATTGGTTGTTCCATTCTTCCTTAAAAACTGCCAGCCTCTAATTCCGTCCAGGAAGAATTAAGGCGCCGGATTGATCTTGCTCAAAACCGTACAGTCCGCGGCAAAAGTCGTCGCGGTTCCCAGATTGCCTTTGCACGCCTGGGATTATACCGAGTGCAATCGTTGTTTATGAAACATTATGAACATCGTCGGTTCGTCTACTTAAAAATTAAAATGTTAGAGACATTGGGATTTATCCATTTTAATTGGAAGTCATCCTTTTATAAAATTTCTCGTGTTGGTCGTATCGTAGATTGATAATTGTTGAAACTTTAGCCTCGAACAAAAATTAATCTATAGTTTACTTAGTACTAAGATACTAAGATATCGGTTTACATTTTCGCCGGTTCCGTCAGCGGGCAACGACGGTGATGTAAACTGTATATAGTAGATACCGCGATACATCATCACCGGTACCATTAGATATACATCATACCCTGACTGTTTGGGGGTCCCAGCGTCACGTATACAATGTGAAACGCGACAAATAAAACGTCTCTGATTGGTGGATAAGACGAACCCAAGAAGGGTATAAAAGAAGCGTTTTTTCTTACCGGCTTCTTAGTAGAGTTTGGTCGCTCGATCGTTTTCGCCCATATACCTTCTCTCAATAAAGGATTAAAATAAAGTCTTTTTAAGAAAAGAATTAGAATCATATTCATTTTCATTCCATAATCCCAACAATAATTATAAACTATAACTTTTAACTAACTATAACTTTATAAGTATAACTAAAACTTAAATTGTAAACTGTAGAAAATAATTCGTTTAAAAATAACTTGTCTATAGAATTATTTCAACGTAATTAGCAAAGAGTTTGCGAACAAATGTGTACAGAGTTATTAATGTTAAAACAACAGTTACGGTACGAGAGAAGCCTTTGCCAATGTTTTTAACATTAACATATCGTTACATATCATCGAAAATATCAGTGGGCACTTTGCACGTGTCGTCGCAATGTTTTAAACATTGAAAACGACTCGCATTCGTCGCTAGAGACACGTTCGGCACGTTCGCGGACTTTTCGCCCGGAGTGTACGTTCAAAAATCCCGCGCGCGGTCCAGCATCGATCGGCGGAGTGGCGGGCGATTTGAAATTCAAAATCGCCGAGTCCGTTATATACCCCGAATTAATTGTCGAACCGTTCAAGCGACTCGCTGGTCGTTCGATAAACAAATGATCGCATAACATATTTATGAAGGAACGTCCCCCGGTCGAAATGCCGTTCGCGCAGAGCGGCGAATGCATATTATCCTGATCAATCGGGCTCACGGAGGCGGAATCGACCGCGAGGAAAATGGATGAGCGGGGGGAAAAATGCGATATTAAAGCGGGACCGGATGGTGGACGGGGTGCGATGTAAACACTCGACGGGGATAGAGTTCGTAAAAATTCCGCGAGTTCCGACCGATTCCTATCTGTGTGTAGGTGAATAGAGACTTTGGAAGAACTGCCATAAATCAGACACCTTCGTCGATAGTCCGGAGGAATACAGGGTGTTCCAAAATTATTGTACAAGCGGGAACTGAGAGATTCCTGAGGTGATTTGAAGCAACTTTTTCCTCAGCGAAAATGCAATCCGCTGCTTCGTTCGCGAGTTATTAACGAAAAACACTGACCAATGACAGGCGAGTTCGGCTGACGCGAGGCGGCGCAGTCAGCGAGCGCGCGACGCCCAGTTCCGCTCATTGGCTCGGCCGCCTCGCGTCAGCTGATCTTCGCCCCTCATTGGTCACTGTTTTTCGTTAATAACTCGCAAACGAAGCCTCGAATTGCATTTTCGCAAAGGAAAAAGTTGCTTCAAATGACCTCACGAATCTCTCAGTGGTACACAGGGGTACAACTGTACCTCAGCTTCTACAATAATTTTAGGACATCCTGTAGAGGTGTTCGCGAATCTCGATCGCCCCTTGCGATGGCGTTAAAAAATTGCGATATTATACCTCGTCCAAACTGCGAGCAACCCTTAACATTTGTTACCCTCCGTGCTCGGCGGAGACATAAACCCGCACCCCGGGACATTGGACGATTTTATTTCGTAAAACACAATCCTATTACCGTTTAATTAAAATTGTAAACAAAATCGGAGAGACTTCCAGGGGGTCTAGCCTCGTACGCCTGGTCGCAGTGGCTGCAGCCAGAGATTCGAAAAATGCGACAGGAACCGGAAGGCTCCGGCTCTCGATAGAGAGGGTATTGTCGCCGGCGGTTTAATTATCGACTTTCTTTAAGAACTCGACCATCCGTTTACTATTGATCGAGAGGATTCGCTGGCACACGGCAAGATTCCCGGCTGGACCGCTGTTTTCTCATTGGATTCCGTCTGTTTTTTATTTTTTTATTTTTGTTGTTGTCCCTTTATTCGAGGTCGTTCCTGAAAAGAGGTTAGGGGCTAGAAATGGCGGGAACGAGTAGCCGATTTCCGTGGGAAACGCGATACGAACGTGTTACGTTCGACGGGGACCGACATCGACTGCATGGCATCCGTCGTCCGATCCGTTCGCCGGTTAATAAGCGTCGGAAGCAATATCGTCGTTTCGCGTTGGCAACCGTTGCTCAACTTCGAACCGACCCGACCCGACCCGCGATTCGACTTCGGAAACTCGGCGATATCCCATTAAAGCCCCGCCGCCGCAACTTAGGAATCGTGTCCCATTTATCTGTGGCAGCTAACCGGGGGCCACGCTATCCGCGCCGTGCCGCGCCGCATTCGATTTTTGAGTTAGGTCCTAACCTCGAATTTCCCTGCATTCGACGTCGATAAAGCTTTTATGCTCTTCCGCTTTCGTTCCGTATTTTATTGGCGCGGTTTCTATGAATTCTACCAGACATGCCGGAGTCTTTTGGGACGAGCAGCGTCCTCGCCATCATGCAAATGCAATATTGTTCAATCTGCATCTTTATGCACTACTTTTTATAGCGACGTAGGTGACTTTACTGTTGCAATTCGCTGGGAAATTTGGGATGTAGAATGACCAGATGGAAATTAATAAATTACAGAGACTTGGGAGATTCGTCGAAGAAAAGAATGATGGTTGGCGACTTCTCTCCCTGAAGCTCGTGCGGCGGTCGCTTACCGCGATCGCCGACAGATGGCTAGGACGTCGACACCTTTCCCGCAAGTCCTCCCGATCCGTTACTCGGTCTGGACCGAGCGATCTGGACCAGCTAGACAGCCCGAGTCCATTTCGCAGGCCCGGAACGCTCCCTTTCTCTTGCAAATCTCTCTACCATTTCCATCTGTCCGTTCGCGTGGCAGGCTAGACGACAACCGGTAGCCAGAGAAATGGCCGCCGCGGCGGACCAGCTGCAGAGCGACCATAGCTCGCGCAATAAAACCCGCGAGAGGACCGTCGCGTGTCTAACGGTCTAACAATGAAGCCCATTGCCATGCTCGCACGGAGTCATTCATGCGTGGTGAGTGCGCCGAGGCTGGGACAAAAAAAAATGAAAGAAGGATCGAGCAACCGGCCGCCGCAACGTGTCATTATCACCGGTGGCTCGCATTAGGTAACCGGGGGGGCCCGGCTAACAAGCCGCGGTTCTTTCGCCGGGTCCCGTCGGATCACGATTCCACGTTACGCCGAGCCAGACCGGTGAAATCGGCGCTGTTCGCTCGGCAGGGTTCGTTAAAAAATGCGCCGGCGAACGACTAACGAGGAGATCCGACTGAAACCCGCCGATGTCCCGGCGAACCCGACCCTGTAGTTAAGGACCATTGTTAGGAGAAAGTCGGGGAAAATTGTTCTGCTCAACTGGAAATTTGAATGTCTAACGTAGTCGCGGCGGGGAGGGTCTTCCGCGGAGCTAAGACGCCACGCCCCCTCGGCGAATTCGTGCGGAGGCAGTGGTAGCTCTGCTTGGATATAGTTCGCCTCGCGTAGCAGTTGGTAGCGAGACGAAACAGCTATTTTTGCGGATGCTTGAACACCTAGAATAGCTCTAGCGCCGCTGCGCCACGCCCACCGGGGAGCTAAGCCACGCCTACTTGTAGTACTCCTCTCAAAGACACACCCACTTTTGTTTTCAGACGGTATAGACGTTGCAGAAAAAACCGTGTAAAAGGGAACGCGAAAAGAAAATGCTAGACAATTTTAGAGAATCGGCGAAAGCCACGCCTACTGGCTAGAATGATAGGGTATCGCTGACGGAGGATACTCGGCGCAGATTCTGACCCGTGCGTCCGTTGTTTCAGATTGGAGCCGGGAGGAGGAGGAGGTCGGCAACTGGTGTAACCATGCTCAGATCCTGATCGCGGAGCAGCACGGGCCCCTCAGGGGTGGCGAGGAGGAGGCGGTGGTTCAGGGGATCGGGAAGATCGGGGAGCTGGAGCGCGGACCTGGAGGAGGCTGGAGAATGAGCCTGATCAGCATACTACGTAGAAATTGGGCACTTCGCGTGTCGGTGGTGCTCAACATCTGCGTGTTGCTCTACGTGTGCGCCCACTTCGGCTCCTCCGGGCCCTGGATCGAGGAACCGCCGACGAACTGGGCGGCGCCGTTGCAGTCCGAGACGTTCGGCGCCGTGGACCTCGTGAACGGCACGCAGAAGGGCGCCACCTCCGCGTCGGCCGTGCCCGCCACGAAGGATGCCGGCGGGAAGGGTCCGCGAGGCGGCAACACGACCAGCCTGGCCAGGGCGAGGCTGGTCACCACGAGGCCGACGCCCAACGAGGCCAAGGGCGCCGCGTCTGTTGACAAGAACGATCATCGTCACAATCTGACGGTAAGCTGGCTTATGGTCTCTCCCTTCTCGAGGCCGTCTCGAATGTACCGGCGTGTATATCGGCCCGCCTGCAGCGACTCCACGGATGATGCAACAACGAGAGAGGCTGAGGCTCAACTGCCTGCATAATAATGACGATTCGGTAATCTAAGTTGCGGCTGTTTAGCCGAACGGATGATTTCGTTTAAAACCGGCGCGCCGGCGTGCACACGCGACGGGGATACGGCGGACCATTAGGAATCCTTATCTCTTGCTCGTGTTTCCTTAACTGCAGTTTCACCGCTTTCGTTATCTTTTCTCGCGACGCATTTATTTCGATTCTGTAGTTCGGTTCCGCTCGACCAGGCGGTACACACGAGAAGGTTTTGAAACGAAAGTACCCGCATGGGTTGCTCATGAACCCCTGGTAAGAGGCGAGACAATAAAAAGATATACAGTTGATTCGCGCTCAGCTTGGAAACAGAAATAGACAATTTTTATAGTTGTTGACAATCGGCAACTATAAAAATATATATAATTATATAAATATATATAATTTTATATATTAGTTTTATATTAATACTTAATTATATAGATATTATGTATATAATTAGGGAGAAATTACTGTATTGAAAATTATTAGAAAATAATAATATTGAAATTTTACGAACAATTACCCCTATAATTATATTATTAATTGTTTCTGTACGTAGATGAGTATATAATGAGGTAGATCAAGGCTTAATAATTTTAAATTTAGAACGATAAAGGGGTTGCAAAATATATTTATAATTTATATAGACATTCCTGTACCATCGTGAATAAATGTCGTAGGAACTTTTGATAACTCGTCGAATTGAATCGGGAAGAAAGCCTAACTGACCGACAGAGTTAAAAAAAAAGAAAAGAAAATTTGGCCGAACAGGCTCTCGAAATCCTCGATGCACCTCGGCATCGGTAAGATCGAATCCGCCGGGATCTTAGGCATCCGCTTTCCGCGGAGAATTAGAATAAATTTGTCTGCTCCCCGAGGCTGAGATGCCGGGGCTCTAAGGTGTATATATATATATATATATAAGGTGTATATATATATATATATACGAGGCCTGAAAGATTCAGGGGAAGCAGACAGCGCCATTACCGAGTCTTTTCTCCGTTCGAAAAATTACGTCGCGTCAAGCGGAAACCGGCCGGCAAGTTCAGCTCCCGCGCTCAGCTTAATATTTCAGACACGGCGAGAGAGGAGGCGAGGCGGCACACGTGTGCTCTCGCCGGCTTCCCCGGCCCCGTGCAAAATTCAGGGGAATGCTTTTACCTACGGGCCTGGTATTTCAATGGCCTCGCAAATTTCCAGATAAGCCGGGAACGCCGTTCCGGTTCGTTTGGGCACGCCGGCCCGATGAATGAGATCATTTGTACCTCCCCTCCGTGTACCCCCCTTAGAACGACGATGGTCTCTCTTCCCTTTTGCAAACGAGATTTGTCCGAAGATTCGCAGCAATTTGCCCGATTCAATCTGTCGAAGCTCGCCGCCCACGGTTTATCACGGTCTGCCGGCAGGCTGGAAGCCAAAGGTTACGAAATTAGCAGCTCGCAATTATCGCCACGCATTCCTATCGACAATCGAAGACGGGTAAACCTGTCGCTGGAAACGGGTAAAATGTACAGGATGCCCTAACAGTGCCCATTAATCGGGGAAATAATAAAAAAAAACAGGCAGTGCTGAAAGTACAAAAACGCTTTTACAATCGTAGACTCGTAGCGCGCCGGCATTATTATAGTTCCCTGTTTTGGAACGGGCCGGTGTCCCATGACCGGTTACGCAAGGGGTTAATTCGATTCAGATCGCAAGTCAATTAACCGTTGCTCTCTTCTCGTTTAGGCGAAGAACGGCACGCCGAACGTCCGGCCGACGATGAGCCTAAAGGAGGCCGTGCCCTGCAAGGAGAAGTCGCTGGAGCCGAGGAGGGCCCAACGTGGCGACTACTGGGTCCTCTACAATTACGTGCCGATGAGCATGGCGGTCCGATGCTGGGAGAGCGTGACGTACACCACGCACGCGGACTACACGTTCCTGGACAATCTCGAGCCTCTGCTGGAACGGTGGAGGGCGCCGATATCGATTGCCATGCACGCTCCTGGCACAGACTTCCCGGCGACACTCGACGCCATCAAGTACTCGAGAAACTGTGGCAGCCCCCTGATCGCTCAGCTGGTCAGCTTCCACGTTTTCTTCAGCAGCAAACACGTGCCAAAAGTGGTAAATAAGTCCTGGTACTTGGCCCCCTGGCGAGCAGTCTGCGCACTGCCGGCGCATCAGCAGATCCTTAACACCTTTAGGCTTGGACTCCCACAGTGGGAGATCCTGGACTCGCTCATTATCTCATTGCTAGACTGCGGGTTTTATTGCGTTTATCGGAGAGATATACAGTGCGTCCCAAAAATGTCTCGCAATCCGAAAGTGGCGGGTTCCTCGGGTCGTTTGACGCAACTTTTTCCTTTACCAAAATTTTCTCCGAGGCACCGTTAACGAGTTATTAACGAGAAACAGTGACCAATGAGAGACGAGCTCAGCTCGCGCGCGGCGGCCCAGTCAACGAGCGGAACTGGGCCTCGTGCGCTAATTGGCTGGGCCGCCTCGCGTCAGCCGTACTCGATTCTTATTGGTCTCGGTTTTTCGTTAATAACTCGTTAACGGTGCCTCGCAGAAAATTTTTGTAAAGGAAGAAGCTGCTTCGAATGATCCGAGGAACCCGCCATTTCACGCCCTGTATAGCTGAAACATAGAATAGCGAAGGAATGAAAAGAAACTAAAAATGTTGATACGTTAATTAGAACTTGTTATAGTGCTTTAAGAGAGAGAACAAGATTGCACTTGGCTCCTATGTCTTGCAGTCGACACGGAACATTTTTATTTTGCATAAAGTTCCACGGTCTAGGTATAATTTTCCGTGGAAAAGTCCTTGCTCCATTGCACTCGTGCACCTTGTGCTCGTGGTACCACTCGTGCGTTCTCGTTGTAGATGCTAATCAACGGAGAGATTCGGAAATTAAATTAGGATCATGCGAAGAACTTTTTAGCACGGTATTGTGACCAAAGGTAGCCTCCGCGAAGTTCTTGTATCTGTCGGTTCTTGCCAAACACAAGCGAAACCTTTGTGCCCAAGAAAATATGAAATCCTGAACGCACTCCATTTGCAAGGCACAAGGCCAGCACGCTATTACAGGGCAAGAAGCATTGTTCTGGCAGCGAGGCTTTCACGGTCGACAGTCGCCGGCAATAATTTCTTGCGAATTTTTCCGCCGTGTGGACATTTCTTCGCTTGGAAACGGGGCGATTCCCGCGGCAGCGGCGGCAGGGCGAAGAGACCCAGCTTCGGAAAGATTGTCGGAAATTACTTGTAAAGATAATGCTGTCAGCGTCACGCTCGGGGGGCATGCGCGCACCGTGAAGAACCAAGGAGGAGCACAACTGTTGTGGTGTTAATTGAACACTTCCACAGGTCACGGATGAGAAAAACCGGCTGTAAACGAAGTCCTAAAAAATCACTCGCCGATACGCTGGGAATCGTTCACGGTTCTTGGAGAAGACAGATGAAATCCTGCTTCAACGACTTAACGAGACATCGTCGAGGCTACTGGTTTCAGAAAGCCTTTCCAGTTGCCGCTCCGACTCTCGAAAGTTTGCTTCACGGTGTTCCGTGTGTCCGGTAGCTTCGATGAGAAACTCGATCTTTATCCTCGAAGCTCATTGTTTTAGGATTTAGATCGAAGGATTTTTGTCGTCGGAAATTAATGTCGATATTTTTTGGGAAATTTCTCTGCGCTTCATTGTACCAAAACACGTCCATAAGGCGGTATGGCTGAATTAGATGCAGATTCTCCAGCGCAAGGAGCATTGTTAGCTACCCTCCTGGAAAAAGTTCGAAAGGGAAAGTCGATTATCTTGGCCGTATCGAATGGCCAGACGGAAACACAATACACCGCGTTTCTTGAAAAGTGGATCAGAGGCCGTGAAAGTATCAATCAGATATGCGGGAACTAGTTAGCAGCTGGTAGTGATGTCCATTTGTATTCGCCTCTGTTCCACATACATAATCTCACTTTTTAACGGAGCTATATCTCTCTCTCTCCATGACTGGAAATAGCGCGGCGTCCTCGCGTACGCAATTATGGGGGAAACTGGCCGTGTCGGAATTGCCGGTGGCAATTTACGATTTAACGATTTAATTAATTGCATGTGTACGCAATTGCCGGGCCCCGGATATGGATCAATTTAACAACAGAGTTTTGTCACAGAAAAGTACGGGCACGAAAGGCGCTACTCCGCCCGTCATTTCTTCAAATGTCCGCTGGTAAATCACTGCCAGACGCAATCGTTTCACCGATGCTCGACGTGCAATCAATTCCGCCGTGTCACAATTCTCTCTCATTCCTCGCTATTATCAAATGAGCTTACGTTCTAAGCAGATGCGCGCGGTTTAATGATAATATTCGAGATGTGTAAATTGATTAATTAAATTGTAAGTTATTAATCCATAAAAATTGACAAGAGCGTGGGCAATGTTCAGACGCTCTGCACGGTGGAAAGAACTTCTCAACGTTCCCAAGGGGAACGCCGGCGATATTTTGAGTATAACTTACGACTAATGGTTTGCTTAATCCGTTAAAAATAGGTACCCCCAAGCGAGAAAGTTATGTCCGACACGTACAACTGCACGCTGGGGCCTCCGTGGGTGAACGTCACGCTTTCGAAGATGTATAAAAACGAGAAGAAGCTGCTGTACCCCGTGAACGTTGGCCGCAATATAGCTCGCGAGTCCGCGCCGACGTTCTACGTGTTCGCGAGCGACATAGAGCTCTATCCGAACCCCGACTTGCCCGCTAAGTTCCTCGAGATGATCAGGAGGCGAGACCAGCCGGCCCTGTACAAGCCGAACCCGAAAGTTTTTGTACTGTCCATCTTCGAGGTGGACGATAAGAGTCAGCCGCCGAATAACAAAACGCATTTGGTGAGTTCCGACGCCGCGTCCGGCTTCACGGATTTGACCGGTACGCGCGCAGCCACGCGACGGCGATAATCGCACACGGTCGCAGACCAGTTGTTGTGGCCGAGAGAGTTTCTTCACATTTGACATTTGCGTAACGCGAACTTGGTGGCAATTAAATACAAAGCAAAGTCGTAGTGCAACGGTCGCTGTCCGACAATGCGTTAAATGGCACGAATGCGAGGGTCGTTTAATCAACGGCGCTTCCTTTGACCGTGGACTTTGATACAGGCAATTAGTAGGGTAGAGCTTGCCATTGGCCGCACTTCTATGTATTAATACTAAATTTAATTTCTGCTCGGTGTCATTCAAGCTCGGATAGAATGCAATTTCGTCGGGGATTGAAAATTACGCTCGCGCTATACGTGTACGTATTGTATTTGTGTGTGTGCGCGCGCGTGTTTTTCAGGGGCAAATGTTGAAGGCAGGCACAGCCATTCCTTTCCACAAGAAGCTGTGCTCCGGCTGCCATAATGTTCCTCGTAGCAAAGAGTGGCAGGAGGCCCCGGAGACCAAGGACCTCCACATTTTTCACGTTGGCAAGAGGACGGGCAGTTTTGTCCACTGGGAGCCGATTTTTATCGGGACCAATAACGACCCTCTGTACGACGAGAGGCTCAGCTGGGAAGGGAAGAGCGACAAAATGACACAGGTAGAGAGATCCGATCGTTTCCAGAATTCTAAATCCAACGTTAGTTTCGAAGCTGGTAACTTGAGGATTCCTTGGAAAATTTTCGTTCGAATTAATTTGCTATTTTCTGATAAGATATTCGAGATATTCGATATTCTAACAAATAAAAAAGATATTCGATAGAGTAGCAAGCTACTTGGTTGCTGTACGATAGATCATGACGTATACATCGGCAATACGTCATTCTGACCGCAGTTAGACCCGTGACTACTTAAGAACTCTTTGGTACAGTTAGCAATCAAATCCAGTTGCTGATGCATAAAGTCTGAAAAATACTAGAACATGACGTTCTGATAACCGAAATGAAGATATTCGATATTCTCAAAAAAAAAGATATTTAAATAGAGTAGCAAGCTACTTGGTTGCTGAACGATAGATCATGACGTATACATCAGCAATACATCATTCTGACCGCAGTTAGACCCGTGATCACTTAAGAACTCCTTTGGTACAGTTAGCAATCAAATCCAGTTGCTGATGCATAAAGTCTGAAAAGCACTAGAACATGACGTTCTGCTTCAGGGTTACGCGCTATGCGTCCTCGACTACGACTTCCTGATCCTGGACAACGCGTTCCTGGTGCACCGTCCCGGCATCAAGATCTTCAAGAAGGATCCGCACCGCGAGATGCTCACCGCGAAAACGAACGCGCTGATCAAAAAGATCATCGTGCCGGAGCTGAAGATCCTTTATGGAACGCGGAAGGGCTGCGCCGTGTAGCCCGTGGAGAACCGCAGGTGTTCCCCGTTGGAACGGCAACACCTGAGACCGGCCCTGACGTCCGGAATGTATCAGGCTTGGCAAAAGACGAATGGGTACAAGCGGCAAGCTCCTTCTGATCACGTACGCTCTGAGACACGGTGCGCCGTACAGAACCTGAAGAGCGTTCATTGTGATTCACACAGACGTTTGCCCTAATTGATGCCAATTGAACGGTGCCGAAAGTATATACACACCATCTGTTGGTTAGTCCGGCGCGGGGTGGACGCGCCCTCACCTCTCTTCAAGCAAACTGCTCTTAATCGTTAGTTCCTGCGACGAGTTACAATGCCACACTCCTCCTTCGTTTCTCATCACCGACTTCTTCGTAGTACAAAAGTGTGATGACAGAGCCTAAGGACAGAGACGATGCGCCATGGCATCACGTGTGCAGTTTCTATGGTGTGCGAGTGTAAGAAATGCTCTTCAAAAGATGTTCTTCTCCGCTACGAAAGATTCTCAATATTGTATTTTTCAGCACAGACGCGTCAGCAACGTTGTACATAATAGTGTTTGAAATAGTGTCTCTCGGTGTGTACAGCTGCTGCAAGCTCCTCCTCTAGCTTTTCGTTTTCAGTGTGCATTTCGTCTCTCATTCCACGTTGCGCTTTCTTTCCGGCAGAACGCCACCACCAAGCATCGAATCGTGCTCAAGGTAATTGGTGCCACGGACAAAAGGGTAGATCATCGTAATCATGAAATTTTTACCAAGTGTTTCATCATTCCTCCGATCGAGAATCATCGTTCAAACTCATTGCGTCCAATTACTTTGAGCAAGGTAAACTTAATATTTTTCTNCGAATGGGTACAAGCGGCAAGCTCCTTCTGATCACGTACGCTCTGAGACACGGTGCGCCGTACAGAACCTGAAGAGCGTTCATTGTGATTCACACAGACGTTTGCCCTAATTGATGCCAATTGAACGGTGCCGAAAGTATATACACACCATCTGTTGGTTAGTCCGGCGCGGGGTGGACGCGCCCTCACCTCTCTTCAAGCAAACTGCTCTTAATCGTTAGTTCCTGCGACGAGTTACAATGCCACACTCCTCCTTCGTTTCTCATCACCGACTTCTTCGTAGTACAAAAGTGTGATGACAGAGCCTAAGGACAGAGACGATGCGCCATGGCATCACGTGTGCAGTTTCTATGGTGTGCGAGTGTAAGAAATGCTCTTCAAAAGATGTTCTTCTCCGCTACGAAAGATTCTCAATATTGTATTTTTCAGCACAGACGCGTCAGCAACGTTGTACATAATAGTGTTTGAAATAGTGTCTCTCGGTGTGTACAGCTGCTGCAAGCTCCTCCTCTAGCTTTTCGTTTTCAGTGTGCATTTCGTCTCTCATTCCACGTTGCGCTTTCTTTCCGGCAGAACGCCACCACCAAGCATCGAATCGTGCTCAAGGTAATTGGTGCCACGGACAAAAGGGTAGATCATCGTAATCATGAAATTTTTACCAAGTGTTTCATCATTCCTCCGATCGAGAATCATCGTTCAAACTCATTGCGTCCAATTACTTTGAGCAAGGTAAACTTAATATTTTTCTTTTTTTTTTTGTAGGAATTCATTAACGATCGTGCATCCCCAGAATTTGAGACTTACCAACACCTTGTTACTCACCCTCACTGCCATACTTTATTCCCACAGGTAGAGACGTAATCTTATTTGTTCGTTTACTCTGATTATTTCGTTTGCAACTCGATGCGTTTATCGTTCGCCTAGTCTGCGCTAAAAAAAAAAACTTCGAGCGCCAGGACGTTCGGGCGAACGCAGTGAGGTCATATTCAAATCTCCCGCCATTTACCCCACTCCCTCTAGTTTCGCTGCTGTGCGAACGTGCGGCGGGAAAATCAAACGTGTACCCAAGAAACATTTGAACTCTCCAAGACTGAGGAACATTTGATAACTGTTTAACTAGGGACACTTATCCTATGACTCTTCAATTAATGAACATCCAGTCATTAGTTATTTAACGATTCTTTAATTAGCATAACTAATTAAGGTATTCCTTTATACATTTTCTTCTATTTCTGACGAAGAGAATCGGTGCTTCCAGTGATAACAGATCACTCGTTAAAAGAAAGTCACTCGATGAGTTTCAAGGGGTGCAATCACCTCGGATCGTACCCGTAAAGTCACAGTAAAATATAGTATTTCGTGGTATTACTGCGTATTACGTGCTGATATGATTTTTTTTTTCTTTCGATCCTCGAATCACGTGTGCGAAACCATGTCCGATCATGCTGGCGAGGCAGGGCTAATTGCGAAAGGTTTATTGTGCGATTTTGCGTCAGGAGAATTTGTCTTTAGGTATCCTCGGATCGTGAATGAAGATTGTACATATTATAAATATATATATACACACACTGGTAAAGTGTACGATATAACTGATACTATTTTACACGGATTAATTAGGTGTTAAACTGGGTGACTCTCGTACCACGTGCAAACGTACCATCATAGAGTGTTCAATATTCATGAAATTCTTGTATCGAGATCATACCAAAATAGAAGCGCAAACATCAAAACGAATATCGAACAGACTATGACAGTCAAGCGAGTAAGATAATTAAGGGAACCAGTACTCAAACATGTCCAGAAGATAAAGGAGGCAACATAATTCTGACGGCGCTAAGCGATACATTGATGATTTACAAGTTTTGCAACCAGCACGCACCAGTTTTCAGTTTCCCGAACGAATCCCAAATGTTCTCGGTGGCGTGTAACGCGTACAATGCACAGATTTATAATGTATGTCGAACCATAAGTACATCCACAATGTTCTTTTTTTCTCTCCACGCCCCGAATGATTTCAAAGGCTCTAGGACTACCGTATATGTATTTAATAAGACTTGAAGGACAATTGGAGTCAGTTTAATAATGAGAAACCCTTAAAAACATAAAACACTGACTCGATTTTTGTGTGATAATCTTAGGGCACAAACTAATTGTTACTTCTGCAATTCTGCTTTATGCTAGAGCATGATCTTTTCATGGATATACTACCTCTGACAGAATGAGTTCCAGAAAATATTATACAAGTAATTTGTTAATTTAGTCGATAATAAAGGAAATAGGTGTTTGTCGCATTCATACTTTTCAAGTTTTCGAAAAATCGTACAATAATTTCCATTATACCAGGAATAAGATGAAACATCTTTCACCAGAGGTAGTATCGTTAAGTAGAGACATCGTTACAAGGGAACGTGAGGCTCATTGACAATACATTGAGTTCCGAAACAGTTCAGTTGAAAAAGCATTTTATATTGTAGTAGGAATAAGTTGTTCAGGGGAATTGAATTTTTGGGCGACGTATATTCACGTGCGAAAGTATTTAATTGAAAGAACGGTGTTGCGACAGTTTGTTTTCCCATTTTGTGAAACAGAAATCGCTCTGACAACGTGAGTTCCTTTCGTCGTCTTGCCACCCCCCTTTTTAATTTATCGGGGCTGTGCAAATCGTGTGTAATAATTGCTCGTAAATAATAATGTGTATTCTGTGCCTTACCGTCTTCGTCTCAATGTGTATGCGTGTGTGTACTTGAGACAGGTGTGTGTCGAGAGCATGCTGAAAAAAAGAGCCAACGCGATCACGAAGAGCTAAGCATAATAAGAAACATACTCGAAGGTGGGATAAATCTTTGAGTAGATCGATGTTGTGAAAACAAAGACAAACAAAAATGAATTACATTGTTAACGTGGCAGACTTTTTATGCGTACATTTTGTTTAGGGTTTGTATGAGAAAAGTTGAATCACCATTCCTAGGTGGACACCATGTATTTAAGTCTAAGAGGAATTTAAGACGTACACCCTGTATATCGCCTTGACACTGTAATTCATTTTTCCAATAAAATATTTTTCACTGATTTATAACATCTTCAGATTCATATTTATTATTATGACTGGCCCATTCGATGATTCTACTGTACAGATCTAATTTTCTCTATGGATACGCTTTTTGTAATGGTGACGAAAATAAGGAGAAGTCTTTCAAAATAGCTCAGAATTCCACCCCCGTTGTTACATTCGGTCACTTGTTGTCGCTAGGTTTCAGTGAATCGCAATTCTTCTACACTGAATTTATCTTTCTCGACTGAGCACTTCGAGACAAAGTGCTAGACTGCAAAATAATTATGGCATTTCTATAGAAAAACGATAAATGAACACACTATGTATTGTGATTGTAAGTATTGTAAATAATGATAAGTCGCTGTAACTGTGTTATTCAACGATACAGCGGCATTATTCTTGTACATTCTCAGGCGCTATCAAATATTCTCGATTCAATGAAAGTTTCTGATTCGTTTAGTCTCGTTTAGGTGTTGCCGAGACGGTAAAAGTTGAATCAAAATTTTGTCCCACACTCCGAATACTCTGTTGCAAGTAAGATTAAATGTTAGGCTAACAAGTTTCAGTGTGATTTCAAACAATTTTTCTATACATATAGAATATTGTGGTCGAAACATTGTATTGTTTTACGCGTTTTCAAATTATTGTGGTTTATCATGGACACGATGTATGTGCGAAACGCTCGCGTCAACAAAAAGAAAGTATCTATTATTGATATAAATTAAATCGATATTTAGCGTGTACATTAATTACGTGTAATGTACGAATAATATTTCTCTTTATTAGAAAAAGATGTAATATCTTCAGTGATGTATGTACATGAGCTGAGTATACATGTGCGAATGCCTGTAAGTCGCATGCAAATGGAAACTGACCTAACTCTATTCCTGTACATATGTAAAATTGTATTTTTCCAAATAACAGGATAGAAATATAAGAATCGTTTAAGTAAATACCAAAGACTACAAAATAATTCCCTAAACTATGATTCAATCGAAAATAAATTGAACATTCATCTGCCTCAAGCTAAAGCAAAACTTGAAACAATACTTAATTTAGTGACAAATATCACATAAACGAAGTATAAAATCAGCTTGAACAAAGTGCAAGTTACAATACAAGAAGTTTTTGCATATTTCACTTTATTTAATTAAAATATACAGATTTGAAACGTGATCACACATTTGTTCGAGTTCGCCTCCATCGACCTATACTTAACCTGAGATAAACCACTATAAATTTTTTTGTCGCTCGCTACACGTTCCTGTCTTCCATTCTCTCACATTTTTCTTTCTCTCACCCTCCCTCTCTCTCTCTTTCTGTGATAAATTTTCTTCTTTATTTTTTACGTCAGCTCTCAGAAAATACTTGGTTTTCTTCACGTCCTATATAACGAATAATTTGTTTATGTATCTACAAGCGCAACCAGACGGATCCCTTTCGTCTCTCACTAGTCGATCTCACTTGTCCTATAATAGAATAATTCTCGTGTATATAAATAAACGCTAGCAAAGATTTCATTTTTATTAATTCGTCTCCTAAGGGCTTAAATGTCTACGCTGTTTCTTCTTCCTACACGTATATATAGACCATTCGCATGATATATACGTGTTTACATATTATACGTATGTATTCATATGTTATATATTTATATGTATATACAGTGCCGATTGCATCGCATGCACCAAGAAGAGGATTTTCTATATAATCTATATATTATATATAGAAGTATTTTCTTACAAGCGAGGTTGCTTATATTCTAGATATATTTACTCTATAAAAAAAGACACGTAACACTGATTTGCTTTTAAAATTAGTTAAATATATTTACTTCGGCTGTTCTCTCTCTCTCTCTCTCTCTCTCTCTCCCCCTCTGTTGCAACAGTGAAAAAAGGTGTGTGTTTATCTTCTTGGTCCATGTTACATGATTACACTTTATACATATGCATATATATATACATTCAATAAATGGTAACTATAGTAGACACGTGTCGTTCTTCTTTTATCATATTCTCCTCATTGTTCTTCTACTCTTTGATACAACTTAAATTCCGTTCCCTGCACTGATTTACAATGAACGTAAGAATATAAAAATATCAGTAAGTTCGTACAAATGTATACGCAATTTTCAAAATATAATTCGCTCCCCCGCATTGTAAACGATCCGGGGACAGGGTTTACCTTGATATCTTGATCACGTTTCTTTGCCTAGAGAAACTTAATCCTTTTTCATTTTTTTGTACATAGATCGTCGTACCAGTAAAAATGTATAGTGAAAACTTTCAACGACGATCTACTAGTGTGTGCATAATAGGCGTTAAATTGAATTCACTGTCCCGAATCGTTAGCGTTGTTACAGCACACCACAATCAATTAACAACAAAAACCATTCAGCCTAAATTTGTCCTAAAGTACATTCCGCAGTGCGAGCTCGCAATCTTTAAATTATCTTAAAATTAATTCTACCAACGGATAAATCGTTGTCCTGGCGAAAAAATGAGAAAAGAAAAACAAAATGGGGGGGAAGAATCAAAATCAACAGGGCGGATTTCTACTTTATTGGCCTAAGCACTGATTACCGTTATAATGTACTTTTTTTTGATCACCGTTCTTTTAACGAGTACGACTCACTTCCTTAATATAGTTCGACGAATTTGTCGGTCGTTCTTTTTCTCTTCATTTTATCTGAAACATCTCGTTAAATTGCTATAAATATAACTCTAAACTTTGTTTTATTCGCGTAATAGACAGTCGTTTCTTCATTGTCTCGTGCCGAGCGGCCGCCATTCAAGATTCCATTGCCGTGTGGAAATATATGTAAATGAACAATTAAATGCCTCGCAACGTGATAGTAAAAATTATGACGAGCCTGCTGTCGGGCCTTTTGTGCTATCTTCGTACAAAGTGATATATACATTATATATAAAAGATTTCATGATTTTCGAGCGAATCTTCAATGGCCACTCCTTGCAGAGCCAAAGCAGATCAGTGATTACGTACCTACGTACTAAATATGTTAACCATTTTTTTTTGTTTTTACTTATCAACTATACTCACATCATTTTCACTTTTCGTTTAACGATTCCGTTTGATTCTTTTAATAAGTCAGTTTCGCGTAGAAAACCGTTAACACCTACAGAAATTATTGTGACGGGGAGATAATTTCTACAAATATACATGCGCGCTTTGTCTCTCCGTTAGATATACAATCATTCTACGTCTTGTATTATCACACATTTTTTTATACACATATGTTCACGTACTTTCCTTCGATTAACGCTTTTCTCGACGTGCTAGTAAAACATTAGAAAGCATCGAAACACAATGGAAGAAGTCTTTAGCTACCCCGGACGCCATTACTCGTTGACTGTAACTTGAACCACAGTGTTTGTCTCGAAAAGATTAACTGAACGAAAGAAAAAAAACAAAAACAGGAACGATGCTTCTGGCAATCTCTGATTGATAATTAAACCTGCGACTGTGCTCTACCGCGAAGAAGAAGATACGAAGTTCCAGAGAATCGTGTATGACAGTAAAAACATTGCAGTGCGTGAGGACCACTTTGAATGCAGTCAATATACACATTTTATTGATGTCAATATTTATTGCTAGCCGTTAGGTCGGGTGTGTGAAAGCCCGTAAATATGAAAAATATCGTCGATTCTCCTATCTGTTAATATTTCCGTGTGCCGATCGTTAAAACAAGTATCGGTGAGCGAAGCAAGTAATTAAAGCGGTGAACGAATTTCTTGAATCTTTTAATCGAATCCAGCCAGAAATAAAACGATTGGACATCAATGGTCGATTCGCTACGATGAAATGCAATAGTACGGATGATAAAATATATCTAAAGTAGCATTTCTCATCGCAGAGATAGAAAGCAAATATACGTCGAATAAAAACAATGAAGGGTAAAGAGACATACCCAACACAAAGTAACAACATAATTGACGCGTGCGTGTTGTGTTGTCCTACCTTACTTCCCGAGGCGTTTAATGCGAGATCGCGTGCTTAGTGACCGGGCACTCGGTTTATACGGCGATTTAACTCTTTTAGCCATTCCAGAGCTAGTATTACATCCTGTATTGGTCGGACTAATCGTCGAACAGGTCCCTGTGCCAGTATTGCTGCTATTTTGTTTAATACTGGACGTCAGCGAGGACGATCTTACCCTGCTCGACTGCAGGTAGCCGTTGTTGCCGGTCTGCTTCAGTTTGTTTGGCAAGGATAGCCGGTTCTGTTGTTTCACTAGACTATACTGATGTATGTCCACGTTGCGGGAGCGCAGCGTCTTCACTGGAGTAGCAGCAATGGTGTCTGACCTAAAGAAGCATATATTATATATCATTAAAACAGGAACTTAACGGATTAAAAGATAAACTTAGAGGATAAAGCACCTGAGCCAACGTTGCGGAACGGTTGTACTATCCGATGAACCTATAATAGACATAGTTCGGTTTATCCTCCTCTCGTTGCAGCCGTTCGACCGGTTGTTTCTCCCCTGATCCCATTCTCGCGCACCGAGGCTAGCAGCAAACAGTTGTTTCAGCAGACCTTTGAACGATGGTCTTCGGATAGCCTTCACCGGTGTCACCTTCTTCCCCAGATTCCTCTGGAAGGTGTTCAAAGGCGACAACCTGTCCTGTATAGGAACAGTATTCGCACCTCCCGAGGTGCGAGAAATGTTGGACTCGGCGGGCCAACTGCCGGCTGCGTCCTTGGTGGTCTGGTTCGCTGGGTCGTTCTCGTCGACCGGTTTCGGCCTGTCCTCCGATCTTGTCCTCCTCTTGAAGCAGGGCTCTTGCAACACGCGTGGTTCTTCCACCGTACTAACTACACTTTGCGATATTGCACTATGTCTTCGTTTAGCACCGACAGCACTACCAGTTGTTTTACCCGGAGAGTTCCTAACACCTTCGTCCACTGTGTTCCCAGTTACTTTTGTACTACGCGCTTTAAACCTCGAGTTCACGTACGTCTTCGGCTCCACGGACACGGCCTCCACAAGGTTGTTTCGCGAGTGCGCGGTTAAGCTGTGCCTCCTACTCCTCGCATTCCTGACTTGTGTTCTTGTCGTGGAGAACAGTGTCTGTTGTTTGTGGCGCAACCCATTTAAAACGTTGCTCGTTACTTTGTTCTCAATAGCAGCCGTCGGGGTCTCCGGCGCTACGCTCTTCTTCTCCGCGGTGTTACTAACGGGGGTGGACGTACGTATATCATGGCCTTCGCAAGAAAATGCACTTTGGTGTATCACATTTGAATCGTTAGCCGGGTTGCTCTTTGTGCTCTCCAGTTCCGGAAAATCCTGAAAGCTGGAAAGAATTTGTTCGGGCGACGCATTAACTGCTTCCGGTTGTTTCTCGGGTGCGTTCGTCTGTTCCTGGTGATCCAGTTTCTTTGGCGAGCTTGTATCTAATTCCTTATTATTTACTTCATGATTCGTTTCCGTTATCTCGTGGGATATCGTTTCCGTAATTTTAATGGTCTCTTCCACGATCACATCTTTAATACCCGTGTCTGTTGCTTCGTCTCCTAGCTGATGACTTATGTCTAGAGTTTCTTGGATCCTCTCTTCCAGCAGAATCTTTTCCGACGTCGGCTCCTCTCGGCTCTGCTCGATTCTGTTGCAAAATTCTGGTTTTGGGAGGTTCATATTGTGACTCGTTAATGGGAGAGGTCTTGGTACGCTTAGAGGCATTGGACTGTAAGTAGGTTTCTCGATGGATTCTGTAGAGAGTCTAGCTGCTGGGTTGTGTAGGCTGTGATGTGCCATAACGCACTCCTTCTGGCTCAGTAATACCTATAAAAATAAAATTTGTTAGCATCAACGTGTATCTCTTCCTCAATTTATTATCGAAAATACATACTTCACACCGGGATGGTCCAGGCGGATCCAACATCAGCGTAACAACGCTCGTATTGTCCGCGCGTAATCTCTTCTGCGACCACCTTTCCAATGCTTTATCTACTAGGCTTTTTGAAGGGTTAATCCACAACTGGACATTATCAGATTGCTGTTGGAAGCAATATTAAAACCACCATGAGTTTATGTAACAAATTTATCCATTCTTTCCACAAGTAAATTTTGTCAGATCATACCCCATTACATGTTTGCTGGGAGGCAATCAGATGCTTTTCATTGTGTCTGTCCGCAGCTTGGACAATGGCCACTGCACTCTGCGGTGTTAACATATTCCACAAGCCATCTGTTCCAAATATAAGGCAACGGTGTGATTCAACATCGATTGCAACTACCTTAACATCTGGTTCAGGTGATACAACGAATGTGTTCAATTCAGAATTGTAACTCCATAAATCACCTACACACACAAAGAAAAAGGTGGTCTTACAAACGGCCGGTCTAAAAGGTATCAAAGATCTGCTACAGCATTAAGAAAGCATACCTAACGATCTAGCAACGGCAAGAAATGGAATTTCATCTATGTGAGTAGACCTTCGCACCGGTCCCTTGTGCCCAATTCGAGGTCGGTTCCAAACAACCCTCGGGACTCCGGATTTGCTGATCACTTTGCCGCCAGACTCTCGTATCCTCATCATTTCTGACCCGCTCTCAGGCTTGTGATCCTTGGTCAGTGCCTTGGCCCGCCACTGTGGGTCGCCCTCCACCTGGTATCCCAGAATTATAGCGGAGTCGCCGACGTGACCGATATAAATCTTTCCCTTGCGGATGAACGCAATGCTGGCGGTGGTCCCGGCCGTAGATGGTAATCCAGAAGCTGTTCTTGGCCATTTGTCTGTCGCAGAATTGGAGCCAAATAAGTATACGTAACCGCGAACGATATTCCGGTGGAATCACTTTCCCGGGGTTTCCGGTTGCCCGAGGAACCCGCCGAGATCAGAATCGTTCGGCAAACCGAATCTTCTCTTTCAACTAACTTTTCGACAAAATTCGATCTTTCAGGTTAGTTCGGATTACATAACCTAAATTCTAACCTAATCGGGCGCAGGTGGTGGGGGAAATACGCGGGACAATGACAGAAATTGTGTTGCAAAGCACCGATACGGTTTGCATCGTCTCGGATCGGTTCGAAACCGATTTGATAAACCGCGGGAATCGCGACGAACGGGGAAAAACCGAACAGGAAGTAGCAAAACGGCGGCCCCTTACCGAGCTCCCGCCACATCGCATAGTGCGTGCTCACGTATCCGTCTCGGATCGCGCGGAGCACGTCCTCGTCCCGATCCGACCAGAAGTTCTTTTGCTTGACGATCACGTTCATCAGGTGCTCCTTGGCGAAGCTGGCCGCCTCGCCGCCTCCGTGGCCGTCGAATATCCCGAAGAACGCGTACTCCAGGTCCTTATCATCCGGTGTCGACTGAAAGGCCACGCTGAACATGTCCTCCATGTACTTACGACCGCCCTGGTTACAGTGTCCGGTCACCCTTAGGTTAACACCGATGCTCAACGGCATGATGGCACCACGACGGAGCGCCGGGCGATGCACACGGGGTCCGCTCGCGGCAACTCTCAACACACAAGAGGGTTCTCGGCCCCTTGGCTCCTCACTCGTCGCTTCAGCAATCGGCCGACACGTACACCGGAACGGAAGCCTCGTATTTACTGGGCAGGTCCGCCGCGCCAAGCTCGAGGGACGCACACACACTCTCCCGAACACAACGATCATAGCCCCACACAGCACAATGACGTTGGTTGCGCGCAACCCGTGTGCGGCCCAGGAGGGGATCAGACATGAGGGGACACGTCCCCTCTACGGCTGTGTTCACACACTGCGAACGGCCAGCGGGCCTGCCTCGACCCGACCCGACCACGATCCTCTTTTACACAACGTCGCTAACGACGAGGCGGACCGAGAGCCCGAGCGATCTGCAGCAGCAGTAACCGCGAGGCCGTCGAGCCTTCTCCAAGTGCCGTAAAGTTGACATCGAATCTTGTTAAACAATATTCGAACGGATCGCAACAATGCCGAAGCACTGCATATTCAGTCTAAAAGAAGTTGTCGCATAGGCTGTCATGGCATGGGTCGCTCGGACCGCTACGCCCGGTTGCAGATTTTAAGTACTTCACCGGTCGCTCCGATGAGGAATCGGCAATTATTCGTATAGATCGCTGGTTAGGGCTTTTAGGTATGGCGATGCTGCGAACAATTTTGATACACGTCGAAACGTAGCGAACGATAAACTGCGAGAGGCAGCTTCGGTGTCGTCGACGCGCCGACGATCGCTGGTTAGCGATTAGGTGCGAGGCACGTACGTGCATATTCGTACCGTCGTGCGTCACACGAGGCTGCCTCGCACTGTGTGAACGTAGCTTGCGATTTCTCCGTCGCAGCGAGGCACAACGCCGGTTCTCGGGGATCTACGAACGTAAGGCTTTGTGAGTCGAGTAACTACATATTCAAAAATTCAAATTGTATTTTATATTCTGAAATGAGATGTAGGTTCTTGCGCTGTCTACGAATTTTACCGAATCCATTCGGACCCTTCGGTTAGGCCCAATTACTGCTCGAGTTCACGCTTGTTGGAATAATATGAAATTCGGATCCGGTTTTATCGAAACAGAGGAACTATTATCGTTCGACGAAGCCGCGGTTGGTTATACGGCAGTAAACAAACGTAGCTTCTTTGCGGGTAAGGCTCCCCTCACATTGTTTATCCTGGGACCAGCTGTAGCAATTAAGGCCCCGGTCACACGAGCACGTCGAATATATAAGTTCGTACATTCCTCGGTCGAAAGCGGAGAACGACGGAAAGCCACGGTTGCTTTTTCTCTCCTTTCCGTTGGCATAATTGAAAAATCGAATTCGTATCATGCGCGTTGCATAACTGGACACATCTCCGAGCGAGCAATTGAACGAACGTGTGCGAACGCGATGGCTTTATTCAGTGTTTCTATTTCGGACAATATGGCGCCTCGCCGTGTTAAACGAGTACGAACGTTGATTTTAACGGGTATACGAATGGAAAACACGTCGAACGACGACGACTAAAAATTTGCTCTCCCGGATTTAACGATCTCGCGGGGAATTTTAACGGGCCTCGTTTTCGCGGCACGAGGTTATTATAGCCGCGAAACTGTGCGCAAGTTCGGATTTTTTAATGTTCGAATAAGTTTCGTCGAATTTATAAATCGCCCGCCATTCCGATTAGAACGTGCCCACGGACTCGAGGGTATGTCGATGGTTTATGAAATAGTGCTTGTTCGAAGCGTCTTGTTTCGAGCTTTATAGTTTCAGGATAATGTGGGACAATAGAAAGGGAAGAAGAAAGGCACGGGAAATAAAAGATGCGTACCGCGACGCGCGATGCCTCTTATGGGGTTAAGAAATGGCGCGCCATTCCAATTATCGGACAACTTCAAATTGTAGATTGTATTAGGTATTAAAATGGCGGCCTCGCATTGAATTTTAAATCAGCTTCATAATTTTATTCGAGCTCGATGCATCGCACGAAAACAGTTTTATGAATATTATTCACGCGGTTTCTTCACTCCGCCGCAAAAGTATTGCGTGCGATATTTACAAAATCTAATTGCCGTGGATCGAAATTTCGAAAGAACTTTTTCCAATCTAGTTTTCTAGTCCACAATTTCTCGATTCGGTACGGGTGCTCAGCAATTAGTCGAATTTCAGACTGCGATTCGCTTGAATCAATCTCGTACGATGCAACGATCAATCGAACGTTGAAACAGCAATTTAATTGTACGATAGGACGGAGGATCGACTTGAACTTGATACACTTATGCCAATACTTGCGCCGACCATTGAAAGTACAGCCGATCGTTACAGTAAATAGCATTAAGCTGGTCTGCACGCGACAACGAAGGAACAGTTGGAATGCCGATGAATTTTTTAAATTATTTTTATAAATCAGTCCAGGGGTTAGGTCTGGGTTCATAAAGGCCGGGCCTCTAAAGACCAATGGAAGACTTGTTCGGACGTGTCGATGATTCATCGGATCAGACGTCTCAGTCAACTGTGAGACATCGATGAACGAGCACGTGTAAATACTCGATTGTCAGATATAATCTGCTGTCAAAAACTAAGCAGCCAGAACAGAGCAATTAGACGAGCATGTATTCCATCATTCGTACCAAAGGGAATCACGATCCTCATTGAAGATTCATTGTGCTTTGCATGTTCGTGTATTTATTCATTCCATAAACAATACGATCCACGTATCAACATTTGTCCCCAGCAGCCCGCTGGACAGGGCGTGCACCGCAAATTATTTTCGTTGTGCGAAGGCTAACGATTAATCGAATGTAATAAAAATTAATCGTTACAAGTAATCGTTACAAATAATCATTAATGTAGTACGTTCCATTTTTGGCTTCGCCATTTTCGAGCAACAGTCTCCAGCCACCACCGTCTACGATATATCGTCTTAGGCCAGTTTCAGTCAGTAAGAATCGAAGACAAAAAGAAATTCAATTTTCCGATGTCATTTTGACGCCAGTGTGTACTCCCCTAGCGTCGCCGAACCTCGGTAGCATCAGTGTGAAAATGCCTTAACGCGCTTTTCCGCACCGTTTTTCTAATCTCTGAGCGCTTCTATCATCCCCACCACCATCATTCAACGAGCATCTTCGAATCAGCCTAATTCCAGCCGACGAACGTTCCTGTAAAGCAAAATTTGAACCGCGGTTCGCATGTTTTTCGGCGAAAAACGCGCGCGCGCGCGTCCGCGCCTCTGTGGGAGTGCGAAAAACATGGATTATCTGGGTGCTCGATAAACGTGGAAAACGTTCTCTCGGCCGCGTGTATATGTATTCCCAACGGTAACTATTTTCGTTGGTTCTATTTTCATGAAACAAGGGGTGTACACGGCCGGATACACGGCATTTCGATAATCGGCCGATTCGATTTGTCGCGGGGTTCGCGGGCCCGCCGTTAGAAGCCGAACGGAATTTCCAAAAACTCGCCGTAAACAGCGACACGGTAACATTACCTCGGTTATATTACGCTCACCGATTCACGGGCACAGGCTCGCGGCAGCGTCGCCCGACCCCTTGCTCCCCTCGCGGCGAGTGGGGCCAAACACGCCCCACTACCGTGGAAACTTTTACCCCGACCCCTGCCCTCCCCGCCGCGCCGCAACAACGGGCAGCCTATCAACGGTGCTGCTATTCATGCCGCGCATCTCGGCTCACGCAGTCGCCGCGTTGCCACGTCTACGACGTTCGACAAGAACTTTCTTGTCCAGCTCCCCGTTCGATCTCACCTTCACGAAATTCTCGACTGGGGACTGACTGCGCCTTCCTAACGAGAGCGATACGGCGTTTAAATCGTACGCCACGTCTTCGTTCTATTCCTCCGCGCGCGATACAATTGTCTCCGTCGATAGGAACCCGGAACTAGACTCGAATCTCCGTAGAACGTTCTAGCAGGCTGCGACGCGCTTCGCTGAAAAATTTGAGTTTCCCTCTTGGTTTTGAATATACGTATTCGGCGGATCGAGCTGCACGAACGGTTGCCAAGTTTGGTGCGACTCTTATGCTTCGTTTAATAATAGCAAAGGGAGGTTCGGTTATTGGTCGGTTCGCATGATCGTATCCTAGTTACACCGCGAAACGAAGCGGAAAGCAAACAATCTATTTTGCCAGCCGCAACAGTTATCTCTCTCCCCGGCGAGCAAAACACGGGGCACGTGTTTGAACTTGTTCGGCCGGCGATCCGGCAACGCCGGATCGCCCGTTCAAAATAGCACTCCCTGCTGGCGGCTTTCGCCTGAACGCCCGATAGGCTCCGGGGCTCGAACGGAATTGCTTGGATTCGTCGCGTGAGCCGGGCGGTCCCTGGCTCTCGCGCGATATTCGCATAATTCCCGATTAGATTCGATCGTTGAAAATCGCGGGCGCTCGTTCCGCGGTTTTCGCGACTTTAGACCGATTCCATGGTACGGTCGATATTATGTGTCATCGATTGCATCATCTTCTGAAAAAGATGGCCGTTCCGTTCCGCGCACGGAAACAGTTACGCGACGCGCTGCGTGAGTCAGCTGTCGGACTATTTCTGCGCGACATTTCCATCGGGCGAATAGAAATATTATGGTCGTGCGAGATTTTTGATCCGGGCTCGCTCTCTCTCTCGCTCTCTCTCTCTCTCTCTCGCTCTCTCTCTCTCTCTCTCGCTCTCTCTCTCTCTCTCTCTCTAGGACGTTCTAATCGAACGATTTTGTACGGAGGGAAATAGATAAATATTTAAATAGCGAATTCAAAGTTTGAAAGCTCGAAGCGGTGCTTGCGCGCCATCTGTCGTGGCGTTCGTGAAACTCGTTTTGACGATCGGGATCTATCGGTAACAGAATTGACTTTAGAGAGGTCTGAAGTTTGAAACGTAATTTATTAATGAATGCCCGTGGGAAAATGTAATTTGTAGTGCAAATGAGTTCACTGTAGGGCACAGGATCGAACGAATTCGTTATATAGAGCAGCTGCACATCGGTTATTCAGACGATAATGCTTTTAATTATGTGTCAATTAAACGAAATGATGACTATCGAATTGTAAATCAGCTGCGAATAAAGGACATTAGCGAATCGGTGAGACTGCATTTCTTTTAGCGACTTTACGATGGAGATTATGCGAGCTCTGCGTCATGAGATAGAGGATGCAGGAATTTCAAGCATTGGATTCCCATGAGTCAGGTTTAAGACGTCATGC